CACTGGGTTTAATTTTTCTTTAAAAGAACCATCAGAACCTTAGCCCTCAATTTCAGAGATATTTCTGAGTGACATAGGCTGCAACCCTGGAGATAGCATGTCTTTCCCTCTCTACTAATATCCATAAAATTCTTTAAACACACATACACACCCAAGTCCATAAAGCTTTACTCATTTTTCACATTACCCCATTACCATTCTGATCCAAAAGTCAAGGAATGCCTATGTATTCCTCACAAAACTACCGGTAAGTTCTCCACTTGTCAAAAGAGCTACAACCTCCCTCACATTTCTGACATGAAAGGCTGCTATCCCTCTCAGTTGTCCAGTATAATTTGTTCAACAGATCTTTATGCCCTAATGAATCATATCAATGTTAGGATAACCAGCAACCTCCTTTTTGGTGTTAATGACAATCTCTCTTAAAAATTTCCTTAGGTCCTCTTAACTCCTCTCTCTTTCTGTCTATATCTATAAATATATATAAACAGTACAATGAAATGTGTCTATGTATATACTGTACATACCCACAAAGAGTACATACTCTAAATCCAACATTAGCCCTAACTGCTAGAGTAGGTGTATTGAAATTAATGAGGCTTGTTAATAACAATAATGTGCTATCAAGTTAATTCTGACTTATAGTGGCCCTTTTCAGGGTTTTCTAGGTACTCAGGAGTGGTTTTCCATTCCCTTCTTCTGGAGGCACCTGAGACTGTGCAGCTTGCCTAAGGCTACACAGGATGGCTCTTCATCCTGGAGGCCCAGTGGGGAACTGAACTCCCAACCTCTGGCTCCAGAGCCAGAGACCTAAACCACTGAATTATGGAGCCAGCTATGAGACTTGTTAGCCACAGCTAATTGAAATCCTGTTGATCTCAATAGGTTTCTTCTATCTCGGACTAACATTGTACATAACCGACACCTGTGTGGGTGTGAGTGTGGATTTGTCTGGGTTAAATGAAATTTTCAGTTGATAAAAAGAATTTAAAAGCAACAATTGAAAATTCAATTTGTCGTATGATGCCCTGGCGCACACTTGGTCATAGGAGTAAGAGTAAAAAACCAAACCCTAAATTCCCAAACAGTAATCCAGCATCAGTTCTATTAAATAAAATGGGTCAGCAAGGTGACACGTGTGTAGTTTATGAGAGACAAAAATTAATTTGTAGGTCTGTGTACCACAGGATGGCAACTACTCCCTCAGTATGTTTGTATAACGAAAAAGCTGCGTGTTTCTCCTGTTTTCCTATTAAAACATGCCAGCTACCACTACAGCAACACTTTTAAATTTTAAATACAGTATGAAGAATCCCCATAATTAATGCACATGGGCAACCCCCTTTAGAGCCACATAACACCTCTACTTTGGGAAGCTGAGAAACCTTTTTCTACAATTAGCCACAAAACTAAAATATAAAAATATCAACAAGGTAGCTTCACCTCAGCCTGTTATTTTAAAAAGAGCCACATTACTTAAGAATTACCCCTCTCAAATGGTTTCCCTTGAATTTTGAATAGTCTGTACTGAAAGGAGGAGCAAACCACTTCCCAGTAGTCACAGACAACTATTAAATCTCCTTCCTTAAGACCAGATACTTCCTCTTATTCATTAAATGAGATTCCAGGAGGCGATGAAAACAGATCCCTTTCTTATACTTCTAACACACACAAAAAGAGAACCTGCACTCCCTCAAGTTACTCTCAAGAACATCTAGCCCTTCTCTGAAATTTATTCTGATCCTAAACTTTCTCACTCATCTCTGTTTTATAAGATGCTCTAAATCTTATTAAGATGTTGTACACTCTGTAAATAAATCACACATGGGGGGGGGAGAAACTAATAGTCCTTACAAGGACTAAGCATAACCACACACACATACCTGCACTCCCTCAAGTTACTCTCAAGAACATCTAGCCCTTCTCTGAAATTTATTCTGATCCTAAACTTTCTCACTCATCTCTGTTTTATAAGATGCTCTAAATCTTATTAAGATGTTGTACACTCTGTAAATAAATCACACATGGGGGGGGGAGAAACTAATAGTCCTTACAAGGACTAAGCATAACCACACACACATACATGTGTGTGAGTATCTATCTATCTATCTATCTATCTATCTATCTATCTATCTATCTATCTATATCTATCTATCTATCTATCCACCCACACATATAAGCACATACTATATATACATACATACATACAGACACATATATATGTAGTTGTGTGTGCACACACATACACAGAGCACTTGGTGACCTAACAGCCACCTATTTATCCCCTAGTTACAATTTAGCCCCTAGTTACACCTAGACCCTAATTACATTATAAAATATAGATTATACATATAACCTATATATTATATAGATTATATGTATACATAATATATAATACCCATAATCTATATATAATAATCTATAACATATAATAATCTATATATTATGTCATTAGGGTCTAGGTGTGCATACATACTTATACACACACACACACACACACACACTTGGTGGCCTAAGAACGGGCCCTTCTCTAGTCCCAGGGGGTGGCCCTGGGTTCAAATCCCACCGGGCCGTAACCCCCTTCTTTCCCGGCCTAACCGACCGCCCCAGGCTCCCCAGGGGGGCAGTTGGTGTTGTTGTTTAGTTGTTGTGTCCGACTCTTTGTGACCCCATATGGACCAAAGCACGCCAGG